CAATTCAAGAAGCAGGTGATCCATCTAGCCTGTTAATAGTTTTGTTGTGTTTGACCATCTATCAAAGTTTTTATTGACTTCTTGTATTGCAGATTGTGGACAGCGTCCCCTGTTTGAAAAGATAAGCCAAAAAGATCAAAACGAAGCAGAGCTTGTGCAGTCATACGGACGTATCGTTGGGGGTGATAACGCTGAAGTGGGCTCAGCTCCATGGTAATGACACTAGATAAACAACATGACTTTAAGGATGGTTGACAAAATTGTTCTGAATGTCTGGTAAAACAGATCAGACTCCCATCAGGAGATTATCAAGATAACATTAGATATACTTGATTTATCCCAACATTCAGGAAACTGCAGCACCATAGCACCCAAAACATAAAAACAGTAAAATACATAAACCACCACAAAACCAAATATCTTGAAAGGTAAATAAAATACACACAAGAAAGAGCTGAGGTAACAAGGAAACATAAAAAGTGAAGGACTCAAAAAGTAAAAATGAAAATATTTAGGAGCTTGTAGTACAATCAAGCAAATAAATACAAGTATGACACAGGGAACTTTCAACATCTGTCTCTTCAGCTTAGACAGATGTTGAAAGTTTGTATGCTGCCTGGCCAGGACATAATGCAAAGGGTGGGCCAGGTCATCCAGTTATTATGCATAGCCATACACCACAACCATACTCATTTGGGTGACCTCTGTGTCAGATGATAAGAACAGATTAGTAATATGGACACATTCCACAGTGAGCAGTTAAATATTGTAATCCTGACACATTTGTTCTTCCCATTGTCCATTCTGCCAGTCAGAAACAAATAAATGAACCATTAAGAAATGAACTGTTTCTGTCACCTTTTGAATGACTTTTTATTTCTAACTTAGATAATTCCGTTGTTTGCAGGCAGGTGATGCTGTACAAGCGTAGCCCACAGGAGTTATTGTGTGGAGCCAGTCTGATCAGTGATCAGTGGATCCTCACTGCAGCTCACTGCATCCTTTACCCACCCTGGAACAAGAACTTCACCATCAACGATATACTGGTCCGCCTGGGAAAACACAACAGAGCCCAGTAAGAAGGCGTGTCTGTCTTAATTATCATTAGTTTCATTTGAAGGCCTGTTGGAATTATGTCATTTTTTTCTAGGTTTGAGCGCAACATTGAGAAGATTGTGGCAATTGATGAAATCATTGTCCACCCCAAGTACAACTGGAAGGAAAACCTGAACCGTGACATCGCTCTGCTGCACATGAGAAGGCCGGTCACATTCACTGATAAGATCCATCCTATCTGCCTGCCCAGCAAGCCCGTCGCCAAGTTGTAAGATAAACGCAACATTTGCAACCAATTACAAGTTAACTAGTTCAGACCAAATTCTTTAATTATATTTCCCACACAAATCAAAAGAAAGGGGTGAAAATGTGTCTTTTGCCTTTTATCTAGCTTGGCACAGATTATTGTTTTCTTTCAGGACATGGTAGATTCCTCTCTTTAGGACAGACTCCATCTCTGCTCAATGTGAAGGAGTTAAATCGCTACTGCGGTGAAAAGCAGCGCCATAGATTAGCTTAAAGCTGAGTGGTGGACCTATATTGCCTATTGGTAAAGCAATTTACCAACTTACTGCTATTTGTGCCACTCATCTAAACTGACTAAACACAGACATCCAAAATCAGTTTTGTCCTGATGGGGTTAACTAAAACATTCAGACTGGTGTTTTTACCTTTCTCTAACATGAGTCTTGTGTAGTGTTGGCATAGCAACAAAACTGAACGGAGAATTGAATTTCCAGTTCTGTCATGTGATCTGGAGCGTTTTCATGTGGGGGAGACTCTGGGTCCGACATAGAGCTCACTGGAGAGATTATTTTGTTCATATGGTGTTGAATACTGCTAGAAATATTAATTGGGGATGTATCAACACAAGGACTTTGCTTAAAGTCCTCAGTAAACAACAATTTGATTAAATCAAGTCAGGTCCTCAAACTTGGTCACATAGCTATTTCTGCATAGATATCGATTTTCCTTTCTCCAGTTATCCTGCAGGGGGTTAAAAGATTCTTCAGATCCCACAGATTCCTTCTGTCTTATTGGAAAGTCAAAAGTAATGCAAAGACTGCGCCAGTAGAGGGTGCTATTAAGAACTGTGGTCAGAGACACTTTGGTTCAGTGAGGTTCATACCTTGTGATATATCTGACTGGTATTTTTTCCGGCAGTCTGATGTCTGAAGGCTTTAAGGGCCGAGTTACCGGGTGGGGGAACCTGAAGGAAAGCTGGAACCCTGCAGTGAGAAATTTACCATCAGTGCTTCAGCAAATCCACCTACCGATAGTGGACCAGAACATCTGCCGCAGCTCCACTTCAGTAAAGATCACAGACAACATGTTCTGTGCTGGTAAAACAAAACAAAAGATTTTCCACATTTGTTCAAGAAAATGCTTGTTTATATTTTATTTTTGGCTTATTTTTGGTCCAACTGTTTGATCCTGAATAAACCCCTGGTGTGCTGAGTGATGCTGCCGTCTCATCGGCTGTACTGAATGGAATTTGGCTGTTTCTCTCAGGATGATCCTGCATCTCCTGAAGGTGTCAAAGTTTCTCTATAATTACAGTCTGTGGTTGTTTCAGGTTATAAACCAGACGATAACCATCGTGGAGACGCCTGTGAGGGAGACAGCGGTGGACCTTTTGTGATGAAGGTGAGAATCACAATGAAAGAAGAACAAATGATAGATTAAGTCTCCTCTTTACCATTTCTTATCATTAGATAACATCTGGTTTATATCTCAAGCAGATGTTTAATAAAATATTTGTTAAATAAATTATAAGACCGACAGCACGAGAACACACAGAAGTGACATCATGTTTTAATTAACACATAGTAATAAATTATGTAGACTGTGTATTAACTCTTAATTATATAATCAAGTTAACATTTACATTAAAAATGTAAATTTTTCTCTTTCACAAGTTGAACAGTAGTGTAATGGGATTTTCTTATTCCTGACACGTTAAAATTGTTAACGAATTTCATGAAAATCTGTCTGGACATTAACAGTATTTTATAGTCATAAAATATTTAACCATAATCCAAATATGTAAAATTTATGAAAATGCAAAATGTTGTAATAGGAAATACCAATGCTTGGGTTGACCTGTGCCGAAGTCATACAGCCATGCTTTCTCCAACTAAATTCCCAGTCACACAATCCTAGAGACCAGATGGTAACCCCATGGCAACCAAAGGGAAAAATGTGTGTTCTCTGGGACACCAATGATGATTTGATTCACACAGTTTGTTCAGGGTTTATTCAGTGATTTCATTTAGCGTTTTAATTTTGTGTGCATTTTTTTTTTTTATGTAGTTGATTATAAATTATTTTTGTGGTCTGTAAATCACTTTCTACCTAGGTTTTGAAAAGTGCCACACAGCACTGATTTTATTATTATTAATATTAGCATTAAAACATATACACTGCACAATCATACACCAATATTTCACTGGACCTACTTCACCTACTAATGGGAAGGTTGTTGGTTTGATCTGTGTGTCTGTGTCTGTGTGCCAAATGCCCTTTGGGCACTTTGGCATCAGAAACCTTCATCAAAAAGGTAGGAACTGAAACTCACTATTCACTGGTGAGTTTCAGTTAGTGAGGCATATTGAGCTTTGAAAATACTTCTCCTAACCACTATATAACTTATTAAAAAGCTGCTTGTTTCACAAACTCTAGACAGGGGGATAGTAACAAGAAGTTGAATGACTATGTAAAAAGTGTGTAAAGTCTTCAGATTTGCCTAATTGGCAGCCTCAATCTTCATTTATTATCTCAATTTAGAGAAAAGCAGTAAATCCTCACAGTTAAGTGTTATTTGGCATTTTGCTTAAAATTGAAAAAATAGTTAAAATATTTATAGAGTTTTTCTTTCTTTGCACTCTGAAAAGACTTTTCTACCATTTACATAAGGTTCAATCTGAGAATTTAGAATAGTTGCCTTTGCAAACAATGAGTCTTATTTTGAAACCGTCTTCCTGTGCAGTACCCAGCAGAGAACCGCTGGTATCAGATCGGCATCGTGTCATGGGGAGAGGGCTGCGATCGCGACGGGAAGTACGGCTTCTACACTCACCTGTTCAGGATGACCAGGTGGATAGGCAAAGTTATCGAAAAGATGGGAGGAAGCGATGATGAGTAAACACAAACCATCGACGTCAATCACTTCACATTGAACCCTGTTAAGCAGCATGGCCCCAATAAAGATTGTCAACACATTGTACCCTGGCCTCTGGTGTTATTGAAAAGCCTTGGTTTGACCTGCAGCAATAAGAGTCAGTAATAACAAATAAGCCAATGTGATCTTAGGAGTTCTCTGGGGATTTTTCCAGAGGTTTGTAGCAACCAGCCAACAGATTGTTAACATAAACAGAGGTTATAGCTGCACTGTACATCCCTTTACTGTTTATTCATACATGACAGAGGCTCTAAAGTGTTCTCATTATGTTTGTTTACTCCTGAATCAGTTTCATCTGTTGAGCCATTTTCATGGTCTCTTTGACTTCAACAAGTTTCTCCAGCAGTGCTACTCTAGATCTGTTAACCAAAGTTCAGTTTAAAGCATTACAGTTACAGCAGTGATACAAACTAACCACCAAATTCAAGCCCAGAGATAACCTCAACTTTACATTATCAAGATTTTGGTTGTTTAATTTCCCCGATCTCCATTCTTTATAATTTAACAAAGTAGAGCACAATTGCTGAAAAGTACCACAAGGTGGAGCCCCGTTCCTTGCTGTGCTCAACTAGTTATAGCACAATACAAAACAGATGATTCTTTTATATAAATATGAAAAACTGAACTTACCAAGAAGACTGTTGGAGGACTAAAAAATGAAGGCTGAGTTCAGACAGCTGAAAACTTTCAAAACTTGTTTGAGTTGATCTTGTTATACCACATAATAATACCAACTACAGAGAGACAAACAAAGAGGTTTGTAGTTTGGTGTATATTTCAGATTAAGGACAAAGGCTGGAACAATTTTTGTACATGTAAACAGAGTCAGTGACACAAATCGATTAAACACTTTGTTTAACAGCAGAGTAAACATTAACGTGCTCCAGTCGACCTCGGGGTCTGCAATGTTCACCGGGTCACGTTTAAGATCACCAAAAATAAGAATTTAACATCTTTTTAAGTCAAAATCATGAAAAAATATGGCCTTTTATTATCCTATTAGTGTAAGCGCTTCCCACCAATGTGAAAGTAACAGATTAGTGATGTAGTAATGTAACGTGTCACTGTACAAGAAAACAGTCATTCATTATATTTACTACCAACAGCACCTGAAGCAACAGACCCTGGACTTACTCCACTAACAGGGCAGCGTATTCAGCTCCGCTGCTCATCAGTAAAGCTTGCGGTGATGCAGCTGTGAACTGAGCGGCAAATATTTGAATTTTCTTTGTAAAACTTTAGAAAAATCTGACGTTTTTTGACCAACAGCTGGAAACTGAGTGAAATTTAGTTTCAATACAAAATGAGAGACCAGAAAATTTACTTTATCAATACTGAATTTGAATGAATCAAGTTTTCACCTGCAATGTTAAAAATTTACTATGTTCCATATATTTTATATTTACCTTTTTAAACATTAAAAAAATTTATACTCCATTATTTATTTATACATTACTGACATTTTTGCTAACTTAGTCGAGACTTAAGAGTGAAACATTTACTTTTATATTTCATGTCATTCACAAAATATTACAAATAAATGTTACGTAAAATATTTATTATGCTCATTGTTATTAATTTGTATTTATTTATTATTATTTCTATAAATCTTGAGCATGATTACCTAATTACTGTTTTTAAATAATTAATTAATACTTATGAAATAATACTTATGTGTTTTCAACTTTAATTGATTTTTGACCTTGTGTATTCAGGTGAGCAGTCGATTGCGTTGTCATTTACATTTTTCATACATTGGAAGATTTTTTCCATTTATAGTAAAACAAAAATGTTTGAATGTAAGAAAAACGTAAATGAGAGCATGTCAATAAAAACACATCAGTAAAATATGTTTTAAGTGTTAAAAAAATACAAATAAAATATCCATAAACATTCAAAATAAAGTTTCTTTGATTCGTGAATTAATGATAAAACTCGCTTCATCAGCTGAAGTTGCAGAACTGCTTTCTGTTGTTTCCAGCTGTTAGTTTTGCCTGTAAATCAGATCCACGCAGATCATCTGCTCCCACCTCAAACTGCATCACCACAAGTCCACTCGTGAATCTGCGATCGATTCACTCACTGCAGGAATGAACGCATGAAACTCGTACAATGCGCACAGTTCTGATTTAAGCACATCTTCAGGGTTCCTCGACCACCTGCACCGCTACCACCTCGCTGTCGGCAGTCCGGTGTGTGAGCAGGTGTCTGTTCAGGTGAGTTTTGCGGGTGTAGCTCTTGGTGCAGAAGGTGCAGGCGTAGGGACGGATGTTGCTGTGGGACAACATGTGTTTCTTCAGATCAAACTTCCTCCGTAAACATTTCCCGCACTCCGGACACGAGAACGGCTTCTCTCCTGGAAAACAGACCGAGAGGCGCTCGGGTTCAGAACCGGCACAAAAGCATCTGGAGTTACGACAGCATATCTTTGTGTACCGTGATCATGTGACCAGCTTCCTGTCTTACCTGTGTGTATCCTCCGGTGTTCAGTCAGGTGACAGGAAATGGAGAAGGCCTTCCCGCAGTCCTGGCAGACATAGGGCCGCTCGCCCGTGTGCGTCCTCATGTGTTTCTGCAGGTCACCGCCGGACGGCCAGCCTTTACCGCACACCGTGCACACGTACGGCCGCTCCCCGGTGTGCCGCCGCACGTGCACGTTGAGGCCAGCGAGCGCGGTGAAGTCTTTGGAGCAGTAGGGGCAGCGGAAGGGCCGCTCCCCAGTGTGTGTCCTCAGGTGGCCCTCCAGGCCATCGCGGGTCTTGAAGCGCTTGCCGCACTGCGAGCACAGGAAGCGGCTCTCAGCGGTGTGGGTCGCCCGGTGGGACTGCAGGCCAGTGAGCGAGCCGTACGTCTTGCTGCACAGGTCACACTGGTACGTGCGGAAGGTGTGTGTGCGCTGGTGGATACGAAGCTGGGTCACCCCTGGAGACACAAACATTTAAACACATGTTTAACCTCCTCTGGGAAAAGGAGACTCACATCATGGACGTGTGTCAGTATGGATCAGGATTTCAAAAGAATGTTTTCATCACCTTTGTTCAATCTGCGCAACACAGAAATAAGAAACAAGGACTGGACGCAGGACTGATAAGGTGTATCTAATAAAATGACAGTGAGTATAAATGCCATTTTGTTCATAAAGCTTGTGTTGTTTCCTTTTTGCGTAAAAATCAGATGTGCATCGAGAGCTGCCACCACACTGGATGTAATGAAACCCTTTCCTAAATCCTGCAGCTGCTTTTACAATGTGAATCTGAAAATGTTTTCCTTTCCCAAGATGAGCTCTACAAATTCTCTATAGGCTCTGTTCACGTGTTTGTTTTACAGCAGCTGGCAGCAAAGTGCTAGTGACCAAAACACTGACGACTCGCTGTGTAATACCTCTTTGAGACGGTCCTCATGTTTTTTCCCTAGCACATAGTGGTTACCAGGGAGAGGGAGGAGGGAGGAAAACAGCGGGCAAGTTAACAGTACATGGTTAACAATCATGTGACTGCAAAACCTGAGCAGGTCTGAGGAAAAGTAAAAAAATAAAAAGTATAGCGCTCGATTATTTCGCCAAGTATTTTTGTCGTTTCAGGGTTAATAGGATGAAAAATAATTATTCTTTCTTAGAAAATAAATTTTCAGGTGATGACGGTTGTTGATGAGCAGGCTTTTCGTTTTTTAACATTGTGTTGTAGCTCTGAAATGGAAAATAATTATAAAGGAAAATAATGAAAGCATCAGACTCTTGACTGTTTTAGAGCAGCAGCTCAAAAGCAATGTTTTGTTCCACCGTCATCCTTTTTCCCAGAAACATCTTTAACAGAGGGCTGACTCAGATGAACTTGATGTGAACCTGCTGTTTGCTGCTCACTGAGTGAGTCAAACACACACAGCTGCCTCGCTGAGCTTTTAAATCCAGATCTGCTGCTAAGCTGCAGAGGTCAATGAGCCCATGGAAAGTGCTCCAAGTTAGTGGGGTTCACCGCTTTCAGTGATCTACCTGAGAAGGTCTGGTCACAGAAGCGGCAGTTGTAGCGGAGCTTCGCCCCCTCCACCGAGTGCGTCTGCAGGTGTCGCAGCAGCCGCGTCTGTGAGCTGAACGTCTGATCACACATCGTGCAGGTGAGGTCGGGCAGCCGGTGCTGCAGCCGATGGGCGTCCCTCTCCTTGGCCGACTCGAACACCTTGTTACACCGGCTGCAGGTGAAACCTCCCTTGTCCAGGTGTGTCTGCCTGTGATTGGTCAGGCTGGATAGATGGTGGAACTCCTTGTCGCACTGGATGCAGTGGTAGATGGGGCGTGCCCGGTGTGTGCGCTGGTGCGACAGCAGCTCGGCTTTGGTCTTGAACATAGCGTTGCACTGGAAGCAGGACAGAGACCTGACGGGTCGGGGAGGGGGCCTATTCTGCGGGAGGCAGGGCTCTTTGTCAGCGCCGCCAGGTTGAGTCTGTTCGAGCACAGATGTCGTTAAGGCCGAACCGCAGGACCTGTTAGTGCGTAGGTGTCGGATCACCTGCAGACAGTCAGACAAACATCTAAGGGAGTGATGTATATATGATGTATATATATATTTTTTTAAATTTAAAATGAATAAATGTGTTTTCATTTTTATGTGTGGTGTTATTGATTTATTTTAAGATACTTTTTTTGTTCAAACAGACAAAAAAGTGACCATATAATTACTGTCATGCCACACTGAGACACTGACACAATACCTGTGAGCGGTAGATGAAACATTTGCCACACTGAGGACACTTGTGAGCCACACGCTGGGAATTGTGGGAAATGCTGTGCAGACCATTAGCTGTGACCTCTGAGCAGGAGAGATCTGATTGAAGAAAGACGGGAAGCTTTAATGACTAGGTTCAGTTTCTATAGCTTTGTCACAATTCTTAGGCCGCATCCTTTGAAGGACCCGGCCTTCGTGGTCTACGTGGGCCGGGTCCTGTGAAATTGGACGGTCTAGCCTTCAGATTTGCGTCACCAGCTTTCTCAGTGGAGTTCAATAAACTCAGCCGTCTGCTCCTTGCTATCTAAATTATAACAGGACATTAGAGTACATTCTCGACCATTTCACGCTTCTGTTTAATCAGATTTCTGTTTGACATTTATTCAGCTGTGTGAAAACTATAACTTTAATGTCAGCCAAACCGATTTACTCAGGAACAAATAAAATACTGAAAAAGCCAAACAATAACTGTGTAATAACTTACATATACATATAATATGTAATAACTTACATATCATGTTTAACCTGAGTAGCGAAAGACCGTGCAGGGTCTAGAAACAATGTGCCGGAGTCCACTGTTCTCACCGGCTCTAGTGAGCCTTGACCTCCCGGTCAGCTATCGAGCTGGTGGATAACAGACGTCTCAGAAAACGTCAGAGCACTTTTGCAAATATGTGATGTCTCGATAAACCAAGCGAATATTTGAAGTTTACACAGCTACATTCTCACCTGAAAATATCTTAAAAGTTTATTTTGTGACCCAGAAAGAGTCATATTAAAACTAAGTAGTTGCTGCCATTGTTGGAAACGGGAATTGGCTGGGCCATGCTATGAATTCTGGGATAGGTTGGGCTATGAATGATACACCCGACCCAACTTTCAAGTCTGGCTGTGATGTAAACGGCCTACAAATGTGGCCGCCAAAGGATGTGGCCTAGGAATTGGGACACAGCTTATATCTACGCGCGTGTGTGTGTGTGTGTTACCTGTGTCTTCTGATTGGTTGACAATGTTTCCACATGAGTCCCTCAACCTGACAGGCAAAAGCTGGTTATATTTTCAAGCTCTGAGGACTCTGAGGGATCCAGGATTATTTAAAAAACAAACAAACAAAAAAAGGTCTCACCTGCCCACCTCCACAACCACAGGTGTGACTACACATTCATTGCCGACTGCTGCCGAGCTCTCATTGGACGCCTCCAGCTCTGAACCAATCACAGTCTCCTCGATCTCTTCCTGCTCGTCCTCTGTTATCACCACCACCTCCACCTTCACCAGCTCCACGTCCAGCTGCAAGGGGCTACTAACCTCAGGTAGCACATCTGATTGGATCTCCGTTTCAGGTGGAGAAGGGTTGGGATTGATCAGTTTAGTGAAAAGGGGGTGGGACCACACAGACAGGAGGGTCTCCTCTGTATCACAACCCACTAAGAAATAACCCCCCCCCCAAAAAACATTAAAGATCAGCAAAACTGAGTCTGATTCTCATTTAATTTGATTAGTTTTTGATTACTTATTTACCTGTCGCCAGTGCCTGTCCCTGTAAACAGCTCTGATTGGTCAGCAGCTCCCTCAGATCATCCTTGTCCGCCTTCTGCAGACAGTCCTCCAGCCCAGAGGGGGCAGCATCAAACCAGGAGGCAGCCTGAGATGGATGAATGGCCACATAAATGAAAATGAAATACAGCAGAATTACTAGATTGACTGTTCAAGGTTTTACTGATCACCTGTTTGAAGTCGGGAACAGGAAAGAGCTGCTCGATCCTGGACAGGAAGTCAGATATGAGGGACTGCAGGGCGGAGTCAAACCTCTGGTCAAACACCTCCTGGAAGACGAGCACAGAGAGAGGTGAATGATGGACGGATTGAATGATGAAGCTTTGTGTGAAGCTGATAATTCAAGGTGGCAGCTCTGACCTGTAGGAGGCGTTGAGAATTGTCTGGACTCTTTGTCAATTTGTCGGTGAGCGTCAACAAAGCAGACCAGCATTCGCTTACGTCTTCATCCAGCTGCTGAGAGAACAGACGAGACACAAAAAGAAACTTATTTTCAGCAACAACTGAGGACATCAGCCAATAGTTACTATTATTTTGCTCGTTATTATTTTATGAGTGGTCGTATCATTAATGATGCTAGTTTTTATTAGTCTCTCAAGCATTTTTCTGCTTAATAATTGTTCTAATAATAATTTTTCTGCTTATTTCTTGTCATTTTCTAAGACTTGTTTCCATTTTTGATTCTAGGACAAATGAGCACAGGAAGAAACCATTAAATATTTTTTCCTAAAATAATGTCTCGGTATATGGTATGCATTACCATAAGTTTTCTTATGGTAATGTTAATACAGTCATGTGAGAAAATTAGGACACCCTATGAAAGCCTGTATATTTTAAAATATATTTGGACATATGGATATTTAATATGAATTTTAATGATACTGAGGGATCCAAATAATATAACTAAATAATTAAAAATAAGAAAAGCCTTTTTAAAACTTTATGTGAAATGTAATTTAAAAGACAATTTCTGGTGTGGAATAAATTAGGACACCCCCACCCGTTATCCCACTTAAAATGGTTAAAATCACACACAGGTGTATCACGTCAGGTGCACATGATCAGTAAATCTTTACCCATCATTTTAAAGGAGCCTTGCCTATTTAAACCTCAGATTTAGTTTGGTGGTCTCCTGACTGTTGAAGTGTTGAAGTGAGCGCCATGGTGAGATCTAAGAGCCGTCTGATGACCTCAGAAAGAAAATTGTGTCCGCTTATGAGTCTGGTAAGGGATTCAAAAAGATCTCAAAAGAATTTGACATCAGCCATTCCACCATCTGGAAAATTGACATTCAAAACAACTGCCACCATGCCCAGGTCTGGCCGTCCAAGCATATTCACCTGCGGAGCAGACGCTCAAAGAACTCATCAAAAATCCCAAAAGGCGTCTCACTGATATTATATTAGCCAAAGGGGGCAACACTAGTTATTAGGGGGTAGGGTGTCCCAACTTTGTCCTCCATTAAAATCCTCCATAAAAACACATTTTTGTTCATATTTTTTTTAAATGTGTAATTTTTTGTTGTTGTTTAATTGCAACTAAGTCACTTTCTTTTCCAGTAATACATGAAAACATGATTGGACATTGATATGTGAACATTTCTTAATAAAGAGCAGATTATTTAATGGGATGTCCTAATTTTCTCACATGACTGCATGAAAGGCATCAGAAGTGATAATGGAGAAGAACGACATGGTTAATGTCATGAAGACCAATTGTACAATCAAAGTTTAGATATGGACGACTGAAAGCACGAAAACATCATAGCAATTCATTTGAAGAAGGAAATATTGAAATGTGCTGCATTAATGATTCACTGCTTTTTAACATATTAAAAAAATCATTAGTTTAAATTGTTTGTAATTTAAATAAATATTACAATTAATGTTTAAAAAATGTAAAATAAACACTGATATGAGGCATTTTCAGTTATTTAAATTATATATTTAAATACATTTTAGTGCATTGATAAAGGTGCAGGATGTTCCATCTTAAATATTTGTTATAAAATAAAAGCGTTTTTTTTTTTTTAAAGAAAAAAAGCCAAAATAAAACACACAGGGCTGGTGTTGGTTTCCAAAATTTATCAGATTGATTACACCATTAATCAATAAAGAGCTGGGGTGCAGTGAAGTGACACAGATCCTGTAAGCCTGTCCAGTTATCTCCCTGCTCTCTCTCCTGGGCTTCAGTAGCTGGATTAACAGGCTTCAGGCCAGAGCAGCACAGAGAGCAAAGAGCTGCTTTTGGTATTAAATGAGAGAATTTCAAGTCATTATTTTTTTTGAGAAAGGTCCCGACTTAGTGCTGCCCAAACATTTAACAAGCTGAAGAGCTGTAGACACACACTCACTATTAACCTGGTTTCCTTTTGCTTTTGTCATTAAATAAAGGATTTAATCACTTACTTCCAGTTAAGTGACTTTTCATGTTGAATATTTTACTGAAATCACAGGAAACAGTTTGAATAAAAATAATTTTTAGACACAGTCATAGTCTGAATTACTTGTGGTCTCACCGTTGCCTCAGAGTGGATCCTGTCTAGGTGGGAATGGATGGCAGCTGATTTTGGTTCTGACAACGTGACCTAAAGAAAAAAGAAAAAAAACAACAACAAAAAACAACACAATCTGACATGTCCCTTCAATGTTAAAAAGGAAAAGTAACACACTCTATTTTGTTTAAAGTTTAGATTTTAACATTTAGTGATATACCTAACTATAAAATAACTCAAATGAAATTCAAATGAACCAAGAACAGAACCCTGAGGAACACCACGGAGAAAAAAAACCCTATTTATTACATTTACATTGCTTATTTAACACTTGTGCATGAACTTTCCTGAGTTCCTGTAACTGTTTCGTCCTCTAAACACTGTGGAAACTAGGAACTATCAATGTTAATATAAAAACATTCTGGGGACTTTGGGGGTTTTCTACTACAGAACAGACACTCTGCAGCACAAGAGGAACCTTTAAGTAAAGTCTAGCCAGTATGCAACCATAAAGACTTCCGACACTTATTTCATCACTTGTTCAGAAGCTTTATTTATTTTAATATCGAAGGTCATTTGGAGATGAAAACTGCATCAGTATCTTTGTTGCTATTATACTAATACCCAGGCACACAGAGTATACGCTCCTCTCTCAGATGTTGTACAGCATGCATGACATATACATCATTTACATCAGGTGTGGTAAAGATTTAATTAACACTTAAAGTTGTTATTCCTTATCCAGCCAACATAATGTGTTAAAAACAGGTGGGAAAAGGGAACTATTGGATAGTGCATGAAACCTTCAAATTCAGGTGTTACATTCTCTCCTTGCAAAACACCAACCTTTGCCCTCAGAGCCAGCAGCAGCAGACACCTCTGTCTGTCCGTCAGCAGTTGCGGGACAGCCTCAGTCACCAGGGAAACAAAGTCCTCCAGCATCCCATAATGCCTCACCATTTCGTGCCGTGCGACCTGCCACATCGCCGCTGTTAGCAGGCGGAGAGGCGGGACGAGGAGACGCAGGGAGGAAAGGGAGAGGAGGGAAGCTGCCGGAGAGGACAGGTTGACATGTCAGAGCAGGAAGCATCACTTATCTGGGTCAGTGTCAGGAGCTGCTGCACCCACACCAACCAGGACTCTAATGTTATTCTTACTTAATGCAACTGTAACAATATGTAGGAAACTCAGAATGTAACAGACTTTAGTTTGTCAGGGCAGGTAAATTAGAGATGTGCCCATATAAAATTTAAAAAAGGCTCATTAAGGTGTGCCAATTTGGCCACACCCTAATCATATTGATAATTATTACAATTTATAAAACAGACAAACTGTTATCAGTAAACAAATGAGGTGGAAAAATTTCAGGAAGTTGAAGATCTTTTGATTAAACCAGAGAATTCAGAAGTTTGAAAAATGTAACTTGGGAGTTTGCCTGACAAAAGAAGCTACCAAACTCTGTTAAAAAAGTCTCAGCATTTTAAAAGTCAATGCTTATGAATGCATTTAATAAAACCGCACTAAATACATCTAAATAATTACAACATATAGTTTTAAATCGGCACAGTTTGATATAATATAGCTTTATTTAGACCTTGGAGTGTCATGTTTACCTTTAGTCCCATTAGTGATCATTAAATGATTGGTGTGTTGGTGAATTACAGCTTATTCTACTATTGTGAATGCACTGTTGGCAATACAGGGATCAGTGACTTACATGATAGCCAAACTGCTGCTAATTAACAGTTTAAATACCGTTAAAATACAAGCAGCCATCTGCACAGTCTATCAGTGATATATACGACTTTTATCATAAGCAATCCACGCTTGATGCGTTACAAGTACGCCGAATTTAAATGTAGCTACAATCGACTTATTATCAGCTGTTAGAGGCTAATCAATAAAGATTAACGTTTCAAAAACTAAGAACATATTTAAAAAGCAAAATCTTTGCATAGAGTTTGGTTAGTATGGGTGCATGCGCACAAGTTGGTGCTAGCTGGCTATCGCTCGGTAATTAACAAAAGAGACAAAAATCCTGATTTATTTTTAAAGAGCACCAGAATAACCGATAAGAGAACAGAGTAGTAAGCACATACCCATTCCGCGTGCAAACCCACTCACTGTAAGCCCAATTTTTTCCAAAATGTTAGCTACAGAGGCTAACGGTTAAGTGTTTACACTACAGCTACCGACGGCTCCGCCCCCTTTATATCGGAACCTTTTTTGAAAAGCCAAAGAAACACATCCGGTGCACGCGTGCGTAGAAGTGGGGTTTATTTTCGTCCTGAGCCAGGTGAGTGGAACAGGTGTGGCTTAAAGGTCATTATTTGTGCTTAAGAATGAAGTTTATCCTCGTTTTACCTCCTCAGCAGGTTCACTCCTGAACAAGTTGAGAAACTTTATTTATTTAATATGATTGTATTTAATTCTATAAAGAGTTAGAGAGCAAAAATCATGATTAGGACAAAATTGTATCAATTAACTAAAATCCAAAATCTGATATTGATAATTACTTTAAAGAAAAAAATTTAACAATTAAAAAGACATCATTAGTTGAAATTGTTTGTAATTTAAATAAATATTACAATTAATGTTTAAATACTGATATGAATACTGATATGAGGCATTTTCAGTTATTTAAAATATATATTTAAATACATTTTAGTACATTGATAAAGGTGCAGGATGTTCCATCTTAAATATTTGTTATAAAATATTATATTGTTAATTAGAATTTTTTTTAAGCCAAAATAAAACAGGGCTGGTGCTGGTTTGCAACATTTATCAGATTGATTACACCATTAATCAATAAAGAGCTGGGGTGCAGTGAAGTGACACAGATCCTGTAAGCCTGTCCAGTAATCTCCCTGCTCTCTCTCCTGGATTTCAGTAGCTGGATTAACAGGCTTCAGGCCAGAGCAGCACAGAGAGCAAAGAGACGCTCGAAATACAGAAAACACAAACAATACCAGCAGTGAATGTGGAAGAGCTGGAGGCCGGACTTTGTGTGGACTTCGGATGGATCTGCGGGGGGTGGAGAAAGGTCGACAGTCAGGCCTGTTCCTTGGAGGCTCCTCGGCTCCTGCTGGCCTCCTCTATGGCCGTCTGGCTGCCAAATGCTGGAAATGAGCCTTTGTGTTTCTTGTTTCTTCATTTAAATAATTTATTGTAGCTTTTAACAAAGTGTGCTTGTAGCTTTTTCACGATTTACACCACAGTTTTATCAGGAAACAGTCTGTTTGTTGCTGCTGTAGCGTTCTGCACCACAAGGGTAAACATACATATCCTTGTAATGGATCCTGACAGAGAAGAAGCTGAAGTATTTTCGGACCCTGAGGACCCATTTGCTCTAACAGCAGAGGATAAGGAACAGGAGGAGGATGAGGTGGAAGAGGATGATGATGAGGAAGATGCCAGGATCTTCAACGCTTGGATGCAGCGGTACCGGGGAGGGGAACAGCAGAGTAAAGTAGGAGAGGAAGAAGATGAAGATGACGAGTCAGAGGGAGGAAGAGTTAAAAGCAGAAGCAGCCCGGAACCTCCGGCCGCGGTAAAGTTGGGCCGCCGAGCATCACTGCCATGTCCGGTAAGAACACCAGTAACTGTACAACTCCAGACCAACTGTAAAGTGCAGTAGTGTGTGGTCAAAAGGAGGGGTAGTCATTAATGCTTGCCTTCTTTGATATGCTGAGCCATAATTAAGATTCAAATGTTGTTGTGGACAAGTCGTCAATCACAGGAACTTAAGCACAAGAAGTTCTTCAAATACTCAAAAATTGGAAACATTCCTTAGTGATACAGTCCTAAGCTCAAGAGCAGACAGTAATAGGTTGTTTGTTGAGATTTTGTTCATTTTGTCAAGTGCTGTCTTCAAGGTCAAGAAAAAGTTCACCTCCTTTACCATTCAGAAAGAGTCATTTAGTCCAGAGGGTCATGGCCATCTGGCTGTGTGGATACTCGGTCTAATTGGGATACAGTGGTCAGTCGCTCCTTTTAGCTTGTGCATGACCTGCTTCCCGTCTTGCCATGACGGGGAAGGTAATGAGAATTGAATTCATGCATTACAATATCTTGTCCACGGGCTCTAAAGAATTTGGGAAATTCTTGGAGCCAAAGATTTTTTGATGCAGTCTTTGGTCTTGCTTTCAAAGATAAGATATAGTGCTCAGGCTACCAGAAGAAGTTCAGTCTGAAAACTGGTATGGGCATCTGATGCAAATTCCTGCTGAAGTGTGCTCCTGGTGGCAGTCCCAGAGCACACTGGGTAAGAACAATTTGGGATGATATCTGGCAAAGATTATTTAAGCCTTAGCTTCCCAGCTGAGGTCTAGTTTTTGATGTATTCAGAAAAATACAACAATCACATATCACCAGAAAAATAACTGTAAGAGAGCATCATAGGACTCTGGAATTGAAAATGTGCCGGGCTTGCTCTTTTGAAGTAGATTCCAGTGGATGGCAACCATTGATGCATTAAGAATGTCTGCCTTTTAACCAGTGTGGTAATTTAACTGTGGTTACATTGTCTGTGCTTTTTTCGGGTTAATGTCACAAACAACTTCTAGAAAATTGTAATCCAGTGCAAGATAACCCTACTCATGTTGTTGGAATATCGTGAAACGTGTCTTGATGTATCATCATGTATCTCAATAATTTTGAGAGAGATAAATTTTGCCAATAATCAAAGTGACTTCATCCTTCTCTTGGAGGGATCGTGTGTTCACAATAATGTGTTGTAATGGGTTCCGACTATGGATTGGGTGTGAGTTGCTGCCCGAAGTGAAGGAGTTTATATCAGGGTTTGTTTACAAGTCAGGGAAGAGAGGAGCACGTGATTGGCAGTCAGATTGGTGCAGTGTCTGCAGTGAGGTGACACTGTATTTGTCTTTTGCAGTTAAAAAAGAGTAAAAAGACTCAGATCTCACATAGAAGCAGAAGATACGAGTTCCCTTTGATGTCTGTGGTCTCCCTTTGAGACAGGGGATCAGAGCAGAGCTGCTACTCCTGCACACTGAAAGAAGCCAGTTGAGGTAGTTTGGACATCTAGTTATGATGCATCCTGGACGCCTCATAGGTGAGGGGATTCAGGTATTTACAACCAGAAGAAAGAACTAGGACAAGTTGGAGATGGTTTGTCCTCAAGTTGTCTTGGATTTACCTTGCTCCCCCCTCAGAGGTCCTGGAGGAGGTGGCGAGTAGGAGACTGATGGATATCTTGTTTCAAGACTTTATCATCTAGCTCTTTCCTTTTCTCATAACATTGTAGTGAAGGATGATCAGGAGCAAATGGTGCCTGTTTTAATGCAGTTACCATTAAAAACCAGTTGTATCAGTTTATATCAGTCATACTTTCAGTCTTCAGGGTGTTCACAGCTCATGAACACTCTGTCATCCATAAACCAATGTCTTGTTTACTATTTTCTAAGCGTCAGCCTTGCAGTTTGGTTATAGGGGAAGTAAAGACTCCCAGAGGTGCTAATGGAGCTTTTAGGTACATGTTCTTGTTTGTTTTTTGTTAATGGGATAACTGATCAGTGAGTCTTTTGTTTGTTCAAGACTTTTTTTAACGGCAGAAAAAAATTAGAAACAAAGAAATAAAACTGTGAGAAAGAAGGAAGGCAAATATTTACAGAGAGTAATGAGTTAAATGTTTATTATAAGCAGTCCACTGACATTTCACTTTTTTAAATTATCCTTCAGTTTTGTATAGTGAGTATTGACTTTAATGTGTACTTTTTAACTTTATTAGTCATATTTTTCTCCTTACTTTGCTTTATGATCTTATATACTATATTTGCAGTTCGTATTCAGCATTTTGTGCCTGTAAATTACTTTGAATTGCATTTAGCGTTTATGCTCTCTGCATCAAGTTTGATTGATTAATTGATTGATCTTTTGTCTTCAGTCCACTCTGTCGGCCATGCAGCTGTCTCGTCTCCACTCGTCCACTCAGGCTCCGGTGACGGCGAGGGTTTTGTTGCGTCGCTCTTCCTCCCGCCGCCTTCTTCCATCACCTATGGAGTCCGCTGTGCCCACCTCAGAGCGCAGGCAATCTCTTATAACCACAATCCCCGAGGTTGTGCCACCTGAGAGGCGGGGACAGTTCAGAAGACGTAACGTCATGTCGCTGGTGTGTAGACGCACTTCCCGATTTTTATAAGACAAAATTAAATTGTGTTTTTAGGCTCTTTGTAATTTTAATTGTTTGTGTGTTGCAGAGCGATGCTTATAGTGTGTGTCTGATCTGTCATAACGACTTAAATAACGGCGCTGGCGGCACCAGAGAGCTACAGTGCACACACACCTTCCACAAAGAGGTAGCACATACCAGCAACAACATCAACACATAAACCTTTTCTTGGGTTAAAAGTTGGGCAACCATAGACGGGTCACAAGTAAACTCAGCACAGACAGATGGACCCTGGAGGGTTATAGAGGTCCAATGAAGGCCCTGTCTAAGGTGGATGACACTGAAGAGGTCAAGTAGATGATTGCAGACACTCATACAATGACAGAGTCACTAAAATAGGTTTAAAACAAGTTTGGTTTCCCCCTTTTTAAGATTTTGTAACAAATGAAAGACATGTTAGTCCAGTCTTCCTCTGAGACGTTTTAGGCCATTCATTAGTGAGAAAAAGATGCAACCACTACAAAGACATCTTTTTGACTCAATGGTCTTGTTCCTCTACATGCTGGTGCTCCAGGACTCCATGATGGTAACGTACTCTCTCATGCCTTCTCTCTCCTCAGTGTATCGAGGAGTGGTTGTGGAGGAAACAGTGCTGTCCAACATGTCACGTTCAGGTGTCCATGCCACAGCCATCTTACTGGAGCTCCAGCAGGGTCATAATCCCCTAACATCACCAAGAAAAACGTCAATTAAACTGGACTTTATTGGATAACTGCTTTTTTAAAGCCCAGTGAATTTATCATTGTCTTTCAGGATATTATCAGAAGAGGAGCGTGACTTTTGACGCAAAACGTTATTCAATAGATTAAAAGACAAAAAGATTAGCACTCAATATTTATATAAGGAAACATCCTCTGTCTTTTATTTGTCTCCATTTTGAACCACACTGGTTTCAGCAACCAGGTTATCCTGAGAATAAGGGAGTGTATTCCCTGTTTTAACACCCATATCGTCTCAGTGTGACACAAATAAGTCATAGTGGATTAGAAACATATAGTAAAGGACCAACGCTGAAGCTGGAGAACAACCAAAATAACCTCATGTATGTTTTTTTTTCTTTTTGTCTTCTTTTTATGGTAATTTTAACAGTATTTTAATGACTTTAAAATAAAATGTAATTGTGTCCGAGGAGAAAAATATGGTGCAGACATAACAAATTCCCAGTCTTAGAAAAAGTTTGGGTTTTTTATTTCTAAAATGAATTATAGTTTCTTCTGCTAGTCTGTTATGCTCGGTTTTTATTTGTTTTTTTTTTTCTTGTTCTATATTTTATCATTTAATTTGTCTTTTGGTGTGAATATTCACTTATAATCACTCAGTTATCTCTGTAATCAATTTTAAACGAGCTCTACCAATAAATGAACTGAAGGAAACAGCGCCTCCTTTGTGTGCATTGTGGCCAGGGACGGTACTGCAGGCGGAAGTGCTGCACCTGTTGATGTGCTCTTCTCTTCGGTGTAACTTCACCGCCCCAAAACACCTGAAACTTCCAGCACTTGGGAAGCTTCTGGAAATTTTAGAAGCGTTTTATCGCCTTTATTGAAGAACAAAAGGAGTTCATGGATAAATTGAAGAAGGTTTTGAGCGGGCAGGATGATGGGAACGCAGATGGGAGCGGCATACTGGAGGTGATGTTGTTTTTAGCCAGTTAGCTGGTTTCGCTAAATTAACCTGTTAAAACGGACGTAGTGCCAGAATCTGCAGATATAACTCAGCCAGGTGTGAACTCACAGACTTCAAAATGGTACTTTTAAATCCAGTGTGACTTGGACCTCCAGGGGAAAACATTATGTGTGATGTTCATCCAGAGTAAACCTTCGTAAAAGCGCTTTTAGAAAGTAACACGCTGCAGAACATGGCTGAAAAGTGAACCGATTTTAAATTTCCTTCAGTGCCCCGGTTATTCTCAGAGAGATATCATCACATGGATGATATATAACGAAGAGAAACCTATAGTGTTTAATTCGGCATACTTGGTGTTATAAGATAAAAACAAATGTTCATGTAAAGTATAGTTAATTCAGGCGAAACTGCTTCTTCTTGCTGTTTAACCTCTGCACAAATCATAAAACTGCACTAGAAGTAAGGCAATAAAGTTAATTTTGATAGTTAATAACTTTGACAGTTGTAACTTAAGGAAGTCAGTGTTTTAATAACTTCCACATTTGAAATACTTAGAGGCTCGCAAATGTGCATTTCGGGGCGGGATTGTGTTTTTATTATCATCAAATTGACATCTGTTGGATAGACTACCACTGCTGTCATGAACCAGGGCTGTCATAATCATTTTAACTGTTAGGCCACATAAGCTCAAATATATACAACAGACCTCCCTCATTAAAGAGTATATGGAAGTTTCTGCTCACGCTCACATGAACCATAACCAGGATTTAAAAAAATGTCTAACCTTAAATTAGAGTAAAACACCTTTCACCGCATCCACCTGACGGCCTGAGAATTAAAACAGCTCAGTTTTCCACACTTATTGAGTCTATTGCCAATATATGCAGCTGTTTAAAGTGTCACATTTTCCCACACCCTCCCCGCTTAATCATCTTTTAAATTAATAGTTGAAAGGATTAGTGAAGAGTCACTTTCCCTTTCCAGACTCAGCAAAGGTGGAAAAACTGAGATTTTAAACCCGGGTACTAAAGGTGGGAATCAACAGGAATCCTGCGATACAATATTATTGCAATTTTTTTAAGATTTGTGATTCGCTGAATAATTAAGTAACAGGTAAAATTTGTCTGTTTTATCCAATAAGGCAATGTTATTTTACCTCAGTTGTTTTTTTTAGTTTTTTTGCTGCTGAATGAGAATGAGATGTGAAGCGTACAGACACTGTCATGAAAGGCTGACGTAAATGCTGGAATAAGGGTATTCAGCAATTAACTGTGATGAAACTTCAAAAATCACAAAATCACATATAACTCTTAGAGCTGTGCTCCTTTTGGTGTTTTGAACTTGCCAAACATTTCCATCAAGCATCGCCACAAAATGAACAAAAGTGCTTTTTATTGAAAAGCTGGAGTGATGAATGAGCGTCCAGTGGAAAAATAACTTAAAGACTCTGAATGTCAATTTCATGAAATCTGAGTCAATATACAATCTTCATTTTAAACTCCTTTAATACTAAAGTCACCACCCAAAAACTAAACATCAATAACAAACATTTAGTCTGTGAGATCATCATGATGCTAATGACGACAAATTCTGTGCAGAGAGCCAATCAGGCATCGACGCTGTCCTGGGGGACACGGGTGAAGGGTTTCCTGATCTGCTTCGTTTTAGGAGTCGTGTGCTCCATCCTGGTGAGTAAATGACACTCCTGGACTGTGTTTACTGTTTCTATGACAAAAGATTTGCTGTGGTGACTTCCTGTTTTCCTTTATCAGGGTACGTGCTTGTTGTGGGTCCCTGGCTTTGGTCTCGCTGTGTTCGCAGTCCTTTACAGTCTGGGAAACATCTGCGCTCTGTCCAGGTAATAAGCAGACCTAACCTGATACTACATTACCCATCATCACTGAGGGCAGGTATTGACTTCAGTGTTTTTATGAAGGGAAACGTCGTCCTCCAGTGGTAGAAATCAGAGCTTTGACTGACGAAATCTTTTTCTTTTTCAGCACCATGTTCCTGATGGGTCCGTGCCGGCAGCTGAAGACCATGTGGGCTAAAGAGCGAGTGCTCGCCACCGTCATCATGCTGGTGAGAACAAATAACTTTTCATTATTGTCTGTAAGTTTCTCAGTCATCCAGATCAAGGTAGTCTAAGGAGCTTGAAAAGAAAGCTACTGGACTCACTTAAGCTGAAGATTTCACCTCTCATTCAAGAAGTTTCTTCAGCTCTTGGATGAAAGTTGAAACATCTTCACGAAGCTTAAAGAAGTCCAGATTTTTATTATTCTGTCCTCATGTTGATTTAATTAGAGGAATTTCTCAAATGCACAGTGATGGAAGAAACTGAACACACAAACAGCAGGGGTCCAGCTACAGTGGGGCAAAAAAGTATTTAGTCAGCCACCGATTGTGCAAGTTCCCCCACTTAAAATGATGACAGAGGTCAGTAATTTGCACCAGAGGTACACTTCAACTGTGAGAGACAGAATGTGAAAAAAAAATCCATGAATTCACATGGTAGGATTTGTAAAGAATTTATTCGTAAATCAGGGTGGAAAATAAGTATTTGGTCAATAACAAAAATACAACTCAATACTTTGTAACATAACCTTTGTTGGCAATAACAGAGGTCAAACGTTTACTTTAGGTCTTTACCAGGTTTGCACACACAGTAGCTGGTATTTTGGCCCATTCCTCCATGCAGATCTTCTCAAGAGCAGGGATGTTTTGGGGCTGCCGCCGAGCAACACGGACTTTCAACTCCCGCCACAGGTTTCCTATTTAACAAAATAAATAAAAAATTCTCTCTGTATAACTTTTACATTTCGGTCATTTTTTTTATCCACATTTGCATTTACCTTATTTAAGTGTCTCTAAGGTTTCTAGTGGGTCTCTAGTGTAGTGGTTTACATATACAGGTAGTTCAATTGTGGGATGAGAGGCATATCCCATAAGGTTTATTCAGTAAATCAAACACGTGGATCTACCTGCTGTGAATCTGGGAGCAGCTTAAAGTAGCTTTCATCTGTTTTTTGTTTTTTGGGGTTTTTTGCATTTGTGTTGCGTTGGCAAATTTAACTGTGGATGAAATCTAGTTTAAAGTGTCTAATCTCTGTATCCAGGTTAAGGCTGAAGATGAAGTTACAGCTGAAGATGATGAAGATCAATTCAATCTTTTAATCACAGAGTGAATTATTTTCGCTTTGTCAATGTTAATAAAGCTGATTTCTCTCATAATTTGTCCAAGAATGCTCCAAAAACAGAGTTTACAGGAATTTACAGGAAAAGCCACGTGACGTCCTGATGAACGACAGGTAGCTGAAACTCACCTGTAAGCTCCACCTGAGTGAAACTGTCTCTCTCTGCAGGTGTGTCTGGTGCTGACGCTCTGTGCTGCGTTCTGGGTGAGAAACAAACTGCGATGAAACGTTTGGATGCAGCGAGTCGTGTTGTGTTGTTTTTGTGTTTGATTTGTGTTGTTGTGTCTCTGCAGTGGAAGAACAACGGCCTGGCTCTGCTCTTCTGTATCCTGCAGTTTCTGGCCTTCACCTGGTAGAAAACACACACGCACACACACACACACACACACACACACACGTGTTACTGTTTGTTACCTCTCTGACTGCTGCTGCTGTATCCCACAGGTACGGCCTCTCATACATCCCATTCGCCAGGTAAGACAAACACACCTGAACTCACTAGTGTACGTTTCCTCGGGAGATAAAAACATGATGGCGACGGGCGGTTTGGTTTTAGTCTCGCTTGTTCAAAGGCATAAAAAAAGTATTAACCTTTAAAGTGAATAACTTGTACATGTGTGCTGCTGTGAATTTTCTGATTGTAGAAATGTTTCCTAGCAAGTTTTTTTACAGTAGCTGACCTTTCTGCGGAAAGATCTTGGATATATAGCTTTGTTAACATGATAGGCTTTGATTTGACTGTAATTTCCCATCATAAGCACGAGGTTGGTTAAAAGATAGTTTTAAATTTAACTTTCTGCTCTTACTGAGCATTCAAAGCACCGGACACTTATATGTTGATAATAGCCATGACAATATTTCAGGTTCAGATTACTTTGTTTGTGCCTGCACATAAACTCTGTCTGCAGTAGGTGAGTCATCCATTTTCAAACGACAGATAAGCATAACATAATGAAGAAGAATGAATAATAAATAATCCACACTCTATCATAAAGTGTATAAAAGCTGTAATTTGTTCCTCTGATTCATGGCTACCGGAACAAAGTTGTTTTTATGCCGTGTTACTTTTGCTTTGAAACTGAAGATGTAGATGGCTCACTTTCAATCTTTCACTTGCACTGGCGCCGGTATGGGAGGTAGAGCTACCACTTGGAAGGTTGGTAGTTCGATTTCTGGCTGCTCCAGTCTGCATGCCAAAGGATCCTTGGGCAAGATACTGTGTATAAATGTGTGTCTGAATGGGTAATTTATACAACTTGTATAAAATGATTTGAATGCTCAAGCAGATTAGAAAAGCGATTTATAAGAACCAGTCCATTTGCCATGCAAACTATGGGCAACTGCAGCAATATGCTAGCAATCAAAGCAACCATATTGAGGTTTTTAATGCCAGGAATGTCTGCATGTTAGACATTTTTCACCTACTGGTCTTCAAGCCTGCTTGGCTGAGGCCTTAGTTTAAAAACTCAAGACCTGCACACAATATTTCTATTCATGTCAAATTATTCTAAAAAATATCTGATTAAAATATGTTGCTGAAGTCAAACACGAACCCCTTTTTCCTCCAACTGTTAGAAAGTTAAGTTCTGTCACAGAGGCAGGATATTACTCTTCTATGTGGTGTATAAGCAAACTGCATGGTGTCAAACACATGTTCAGTTTGCCTGAAAATTCAGGACTTCACCAGTTTTTCAAGGAATTTTGTAAAAGACCTTTTCCATAAAGTTCTGATCAACGTTAAAATCCTGATCCAGGGTGAAGCGAGGTTGTTTGCAACCATTTGGTTCTGTATGTCAGGTTCGTATTTAAAATTTCAGTTTTCATGCTTGCTATTAAGTAAATGCAGGTCATATTTATGTGCAGCCTGTACCCTGTTTAAAAACAATGTTTCCTTTCTGTATACTCGACTTAACAGTGGTAATTACCCATGTTTTTTTTGTTAAGCTCGATTTAAACCCACTTGCAATTATCATGTCTCTAACAAAATGCAGCATGGGGCAAATTGAATTAGCAAGGTTAATCCAAACCGTTTCTACAAGCCTCTTTAATGCTTCCCTCCCCTCTACCCTTAAATATGCATTTTGACATCTCAGTATATCTCAAAGATGTGGTTTGATAACTGTTCTGGCTTTTTCCAAACACAGCTTCATAGATAGTTAAGCTTGTCTATGCATCACTAATGTCTGATGCACACACAGTCATTTTGTTTTGTAAGCAGAGCTGAAATGCGGGGTTATGGCAGAAACTACTTAGTTCAGAAAAGTGCATCAAGGGTTAATTACCCCTATTCAGCCTTTTTAACCATAAGCCTGGTGGCGGGCCATTTTACATAAATAAGTAGTTGTAAGTGGAAACACAGCAAAATAAGATTTTGTAGTCATCTGTAATTTGATCTACAAGGAAGCATGTGTGGAGGGGAAAAGGTAGTGTCCCCTGGATAGAGCTTTGTGGAACTCCAGATTTGTTTTCACAGCCAGTACCATTCATGTTAGATCATGTTACCATTTCTGTTATAGATAAAAGAAACACTACAGCTATCACTAACACTAATGGAGCCATAAAGTATTCCTGTGTGAAACTCATTCACTCTGTCATTATAGCTGCTGACAGAACCTGATCATTTAAGCACTGAAGCAAAAATAAAGTGGGGTT